AGCTGGATTAAACAGACTAACCTCTACAACTCACAAGTCACTTCCAGAGGGGCTGTGAAAACTTCTTCTCAGAAGCCCTAGGAACACTCCCATGTGGTGGCCACCTTGTTTTGCTAGGCTCCAATTCCTGAAAACAAAGCCAGCAATCTGGGCTTCTCAATGTTTAACTTGCAGGCTACATCCCCATAGTCACAATTTGGCAACCACTCTCAAATTTTCCACTTCTTAGTTCACCAGAAAATGACTAATTAAAGAATAGGAAGATGCCGACCACCATCAACGGAAAGCCCTGAACCTATACCCTACACCCAAGTCCCCATCCCCACCCCCACCTAACTCCAGAAAAACAATCCTAAAGTCTGTTGTAGCGGTAAAATCAGCCATGTAAACAAAGGGAGGAAATCTTTTATCTCCAAAATCAGACTGAGCAAGGAAGCCACATGGAATAAAAACGGCAAGACCCCAGGAAACCTTAGCCATAAAGGCCCTCTGAGAAGGTGGCTACTTCCCAGGCAATCCAATTAACTCGTAACTACCACGAATACAGCTCCTTAGTTTATATCCAATTCAAATCAAATATTTGACAATGCCAAAACGCTGTGAAGTGGGCTTCATTATTGTAACTTTTTTTTTTTTTTTTGAGACAATGAGACAGGGCTTCACTCTGTCGCCCAGGCTGGAGTGCAGTTGGGCAATCTCAGCTCACCTTCCCCCGCCTGGGGGGCTCAAGCAATTCTCCCACCTCAGCCTCTAGCATAGCTGGGACTACAGGCGTGTGCCACCACACCCAGTGAATTTTTTCAATTTTTATAGGAACAGAGTCTTGCCACATTGCCCAGGCTGGTCTCAAACTCCTGGACTCAAGCAATCTACCTGCCTTGGCCTCCCAAAGTGCTGGGATTACAGCCGTGAGCCACCATGCCCAGCTATTACTGTAACTTAATTTACCAGTAAAGATTGAGCATTTTGGGGAGAAATCTGGCAAATCCATGTAGTCAAGAATTGCACTGCCAAGAATTTACCCAACCAAGATACACCGAAAAAGCACACTGAAATATACAGGGGAAGCTCTTTAGCAACGTGGGTAGTAGGGATGAAAGGTCATGGAGAGACCAGGCACAATGGGTCACACCTATAATCCCAGCACTTTGGGAGGCTTAGGTGGGGGAATCACTTGAGCCCCCTTCTAAACCAGCCTGAGCAACGTGGCAAGACTCCGTCTCTACAAAAAATACAAAACTTAGCCAGGTGTGGTGGCACGCCTGTGGTCCCAGATACTTGGAAGCTGAGGTGGGAGGATCCCTTGAGCCATGGAGGTGAAGGCTGCAGTGAGCCAAGATGGTTGACACTATACTCCAGCCTGGGTGACAGTTGAGATCCTGTCTCAAAAAACAAACAAACAAATAAACAAACAACATCATGGATAGCATGCTGGTTACATTCACACAGTAGCCTGGGTGCCAAGATGACTTTAAAACTCACATCAGGATGGGTGTGGTGGCTCATTCCTGTAGTACCAGCACTTTGGGAGGCAGAGGTGGAAGGACTGATTGAGCCCAGAAGTTCGAGACCAGCCTAGCCAACATGGTGAAACCCCATCTCCACTAAAGATACAAAAATTAGCCGGGCGTGCTGGCATATGCCTATGGTCCCACCTACTTTGGAGGCTGAGGCAGAATTGCCTGAACCCGGGAGGCAGAGGTTTCAGTGAGCTGAGATTGCACCACTGCCCTCCAGCCTGGGCGACAGAGTGAGACTCTGTCTAAAAAAAAACAAACAAAACAAGTGTTACTTAAAAGAAAAAAAAGGGAAACGGTTAAAGGAACAAGGCCACAACAGTCAGCAAATGACGGAGCCGAGTGGCTTATAGGCCAGAGGGTCCCCAACACCAAGTTCTTTCTACTCCAGATCATTCTCAGAGGCTATCTTGGTGTTGCGGTACCAGGCAACGCCTCGACAGTTGCTGACAATGAAGGCAACCAAGCTGCAGAGACCGAAGAGCAAGCTCTCCATCCTGAAGTTACTTTGGGAGGGCAGAGGCCAGACTTGAAACATGGAATGGCATCATGCTAGGCCTCAAGCTCTTAACTGCTTTTTCAGCATTTCCCTGTGGTGATTCCTTTGTCCTAAGCAAATGCCAGCACAAGAGAGACCTGCAACCTTTGACCCTATGTCAGATAGAATGAAAATTGTGTTGGGGCCTCTTGGAGGATGGGGTTGAGGAGGGATAGTATTAGGAAAAATAATAAATGCATCCTGAGCTTAATACTTAGGTAATGGGTTGACAGGTACGGCAAACCACCATGGCACACTGTGTAACAAACCTGCACACCCTGCACATGTACCCCAGAACTTAAAAAAAAGAAAATTATGTAAACTCCAACAGCTGCAGTCAGCAGAACATGTTACATGGGGAAATTTAAGAACATCCTTCTTCAAACACAGATAACCTTGAGATGGTCTCAAAAGTCCACAGGCATCAATTTTCTTCTCTTTTCTTTTTTTTTTT